CTCTTTTATTTGTCCAAGTCTAAAACTTTATTTGTAATGCTCACTCTAGATTTCTACTCATTTTATAGGTTTGTTGACGAACATTTATTAATCATACCACTTTGTTTCACGCTTCTATTGCAAAATAAAATAAAATAAAATGGTTCATGTCCTTATTCATGCGACTGTTGCTGAGCCCAGTGACTGTGATGTATAAATATAGCATCAATTTCATTGATTCGAACACAGTAAACATACCTTTTGCCGCAGCTATGTTTATGTTGTCCTTGCTTCCTCCTACTTCCTATTCTAAAAATCTTTGATAGATTTATTTTCTTAGTTCCTAAACTAATGCTCCAATTTGCGTGTATATTTTCTACAGGTTTCAGTATGCCACGAGGGTTTTAACTCAGCTTTGTAACATTGAAATGATTTCAGGTATGTTACGGCTGTCAGATTTTTAGTAGTGTGGAAGTTCTTAATCACCGGTGTTAGCTTATAGTGCTTTGTGTGACCTTGAGGTTTTAAGACACCGTTCTAAAATTTGCATTGTAAATTTGTGATTACCACGCATAGAAAATACCATGGTTTCAAAAGTATGCAGAGTAGATGTGTCCTACACCATATAAAAAAAGCTCCAATCTTTCAGTTTTTGTGTATGACATATCTACATTAAATTTCTAATATTATTTACATGCAAAGATTAAACATGTTTTTTACATGCGTCTTAACCAGGTGATATGCCGGCGCACGCGAGGGCGCGCATAATGGACCAGTAAACATCAATTGAGACAGGCTATGGTAGACATATCTCAAACCCTCAAAATCTCTGCAACCAAGGCCTTGTTTAGTTGGCCAAATTTTAGAAATTTGGTTACGGTAGCATTTTCGTTTTTATTTAGCAATTAGTGTTCAATCATGGACTAATTAGGCTCAAAATGTTCGTCTCGCAATTTCCAACTAAACTGAGCAATTAGTTTTTTTTATCTACATTTAATGTTTCATACACATATCGTAAGATTTGATGTGATACTTACTATAGCATTTTTTGGAAAAGTTTTTTTTAACTAAACAAGGCCTGAAATATTCCTAAGAGAATCGTCGCCAGGCGTGCGAAACGGATCATCGGCTCGCCCCGCTCCCTTCGTGCGAAAAAATTGCGCTCCCCACCCCGTCTCCACCGCTCGCCCCGCTCGGCTTCTGCTCCGCACGCCGCCGCCGCCGCTGCCGCTGCCGCCGGCTTCTCTCCCCACCCCCACTGTTAGTTGCGCATCTCGCCAGCGCCGAGGGCACTGCCCAGCGCCGTCTACCCCTCCCCTGCCTCCACCACGAGGTTACGACTCCGCCGGCGCCACCAGCCGCCGCTCCGACCTCGCCGGCTCGGGTTCGCGTTGTGCTCCGCTTCTCCCAGCGCCGTGCGGTCCACCCTTCCCTCTTCTCGGCGCTGGCGGCATGCCGCTGTGTCGCGCCAGCTCCCCGCCTCGCCGGTGCCGCTCCGACCGCATGCTCCTCATCGCCGCTCCGGTCGCCTCCTCCTCGTCGCCCCCGCCCCTCGTCGTCGCCCCCGCCGCATCCGCGACATCGTCGTCCTCACCCAGCCATCCGCTGCACTCCGGCAGACCTGGTAGAATCCGCTCCCGCGAGCGTCTCCCTCCCCCTCCTCTTCCTTCCATCTCCACTGCTCTGGTGCTTCACTTATTTTTGGTCTAGGGTTTCGATTTCACCCTTCTTCTCCCACAGATCAGGTAGAGTCAGATCTCGTCGACTTGGTGTTCCCTCTGCTATGTAGAGTTGCATCTTTCTTCTTTTCTTTTGTAGAGTTGCATCCAGTAGAGTGAGATCTGCCATTAAAGCGACGGCTAGCTCCAGTATATGATCCATCCATCAATTTGTTTTTTCTTTTTGTTTTACCTTGCTCCGTCTTTAGCTCTGTAGCACAATCGGTTGACTTGTGCTCCTACAAAATAGTAGGTACGCAGCAGTACGATGATTATTGCTCAGTTTCCTCTTCTACCTGCTGTCGATTGGATTGGATTCTTGCTCCAATGTTTTCTTAGGCCTTGTTTAGATTGCAAAATTTTGCAATCTGGACACTGTAGCACGTTTCGTTTGTATTTGACAAAATTTGTCCGATCATAGACTAACTAGGCTCAAAAGATTCGTCTCGTGATTTACAACCAAACTGTGTAATTAGTTACTTTTTTTACCTACATTTAATGCTCCATGCATGCGTCCAAAAATTGATGTGATGGAGAGAGAGTGAAAAAACTTGGAACTTTGAGGCAATCTAAACAAGGCCTTATATACAGACAGATTAGGTTATTCATGTAGCCGGTAATAATTATTTTGACAAGATAGCTTGTGATATTCAGAAATGAGCACTTTACTTGCAGCATTTGTTTATCAAGAAGCATATTCTGAAATGTAAAGTGTCTTTGAATAATTACCCTATTTCTAGATGTTGGAATTTTTTCAGTTGCCAGTAGTAGTACTAAAGAATACTGCTCAATTTTTTGAATAATTACCCTATTTCTAAGATAGACAGGCTGCAACTCAATTTTTCCCCTGAAGTACTTGATGTATATGTGCCTGTATGTCAGACTTCCAGCTTTGATAAAAACTCTGTTTTTAAACTTTCCAGATTAGAAGAAAGGTGCAAGAAGGAGAAGCTGCTCCTCAACCTCGACCCCAAGAAAACCGGATTGTGCCATATTGCGGAATCACATAGAGAAATTATAAGGAGTTGTTCAATCATAGGCATGCCATATTGCGGAATCACGTAGAGAGAGCAATTGGTGTTCTTAAGAAACGTTTCCCTATCTTAAAAGTTGGAACAATCATCCTATTGAAAACCAAGTGAAGATACCAGCTGCAGCAGTGGTGTTCCATAATCTTATACGGATGCTTAATGGGGATGAGGGTTGGTTGGATCACCAAGGAAGCAACATATCTCCAGAACATTTTATTGATGTCCCTGAAGGTGACAACCAATACAGTAATGATGTGATGTCCCTTAGCAGTCAAGTAGATGATGGAAACACAGTTAGAGATATGATAGCCCTAAATATGTGGAATGACTACAGTCACAACTCGTCCTAATGAAACAAACTCTGGCCTTTGTGGTGATTCTCTTTATTTATGATTCTGTCACTCTTTTATTATCTCAATTGCCTTGCTGGTACTACATCATGTGCAATTGTACCATATCCAATTTATTTGCCTACTCATGTGCCTTTCCTTTTTTTGGTTCCTCAATTTTTGGTAATGGGGATTGATCAGTTTTTTCTTCTCAAACTGTTACAATTTTCTTGCAGAGCATGCCTCAGGTTCTAATTATTTCGATGGTGGTCAGGGGTGCAGAAAGTGCAGGTGATCTGTTCCTCTACAGAGACAAGATGAATTTAGCAGAACTATGAATACTCATTCTAAGTTCATGTTTGCCCTTTAACTCTTTTATTTATTTCTCTGTATGTATGTCACACAGAACACAATGCTCAATCTTCACATTCATCTCGCCGTGCCCGACGACTCAGCTCTTCAAACGTTATACAAACAGGCTGACAACATGTGTTGCCAGCAACTCTTGGACTCCTGCTAGCCAATCGACACCAACGTAAGTTCACACACCCTACAACGAACTTTTTTCAGAAAAATCAACCCGACGTTGTTAGTTCTACTCCAAGCTATTCATGCTACATACCCTATGCCTCGCCTTGCATACTATGTGTGATATTCTCCCCAATGTATTTACTATTATATAGTCAAACATCTTACTGAAAATCGTTATAACTGCAAGTGTATAGCACACTTTGTATAGCACTTACTGCCACCGAAACACATATTCCCATCCACCGTTTGTATTAAATTGCACACATGAATCTTGATGTCAGACTTCTAATTTGCTATTTTGTTTCATATTCTTTGACACTCAACTGCTTATATTGAACATTTACTTGCATGGACCGTGCATTTTATCCCTTTCCGCATTATGATTCTAACCTGAGCTAGAGAGCCTTCTTCCTCTTCCCACCTTCTACACTCTCTTAACACCTTTCTGCATGAAACTAATTGAGCTGTACTGGATTTAGACATGTTCCAAAAGTTCAAATCTAGAGGTCATATTTTCAAAGGAAAAAGAGTAAAAGCATTTATTTTAGGTTACACAGTAACTGTAATTGCAAATCAGAGCCCATGTGCTGTTATGGGCACTGGACAAGCCCTGTGTGGGAAATCCCGCTGAGGTGATCAATTCCCTTGCTCACATGAAAGTAGAATTAGAGTTCAGTTTACTGTCTTCTGGATATATAGTAGACTAACATCCTTCTTTACAAAAACATGTCTAATTTGTACCAAGCTAAAACCTGTCAAATATGATGAATTTATTCCTCTATATAACGGCAACCACCATAAATATATACTAACATTTCCTTTCCCAACAATTTTGGTTACAGGAAGGTGTCAACTGCATATCATGTTTGTTCACTGCCTTATCCCAGATATCAGCATCGACCTACGACAGCTAAAACTCAGATTCTTATCACAACTACTACCTACAGTTAGAACTAACTAAACCTTCTTACTTTTTCTGATCATCCTTATTTTGTAATGTGCAATGGTCCTTTCGCGTCTCACACCCTCCACTATGTCATCACCAGTCCATATAAACACATTTGAATCTGCTCTCCTGGAATGATTCGTATTATTACATCGTGACTACAACTACTCGCCCACAGGAACGCGCAGGGAGCTGACTATAAAAATTAAAAATGTTGTATCGATACTGTGCACATTTTGTCATACAAAGATTAGTATGCAAAATACAATTATTTAATTTAATGTAAATAAATAAATATTTCTACTTTTATTAACTCACTAATATAGTCGTTTAGTTTTAATTTGTGAGTCAACCTATCTCTACAATTAAAATATTTATAAGAGAATCGTTGATAGGTGTGCGAAACAAATATCACTCGCCCCCGCTCCCTTCCCGCGAAACAAAATCTTCCGCACGTGAGACAACCCTAATCTCGCCGTTGGGGGTGCACGTGGTTTCCCCGGTCTCCCTCCCTTGCTCCCCCATGTCTGGCTCCACAATCAGTCCTCCGCTCCAAATCCCGTAGCCCTCGTCCTAGCGCCCGCCCTGCCCTGCCCCGGATCATCCCACGCCGGCGCCGTGGCATGGAGACCTCGGCGGTGGTGCACCCGGCGGCGCAGTCGACGCGGAGGTCGACCTCCCGCATCTGGAGCAGAACCGACTTGTTGCCCTGTCCCGACTGACCCCGTGTCGGCGCCGTGGCCGTGCTGCCGCCGCCCCGCTCTTCCCCGTCTCGCGCTGCAGGGCAACCTCGGCGCGGAATGATCTCGGCGATGCCGCACCCGGCGGCGCAGTCAACCCGGAGGTCGACCTCCTGCATCTGGATTCGGTCGCCGCGGCTCCGTGCCAAAGGTTCGTGTGCTCCTTTTCTGCAGGTTGATTTTTTCTCTCTAAATCTCGTTGATTGATGCTGCTGTTGCGCTGGCCTCCACTGGTGCGGGCTGGGGAAGGCATCACTGAGTGCGAGCTGCTGCATTGGTACCTCCAGGAAGAATTTTGATTCCTCAAATTTGAATTCATATGCTTGTTTGAGAGCACATTTTGATTGTAACCAGACAACAAGACATCAATTGGGCTCAATAGCAGTACAGCTTGTCATTTTTCCTCACAATATCCATTGACGTGATAAGTATTGTAACAGCTCCCTTATTAGCTAACCAAAATACTGTTGGAAAGTCAAACAGTACATCCTATACTATCTATTTACTGAACCTTTTAATTTCTCATTCAGTCATCCTCAGTCTCTTAGGTTGCTGGAATTATCTTATGGTGACATGTCCAACGTATTAAAAATATGTCTTTAGCAAAATATAGTGTCGTTGTTTTGATCTCTTCCCTGCATGTTAGATTTGGTTCAATAAATAGATTGTACGTGATCGCTGGTGGGGGACGACGAGCGCACGGACACGGTGCTGCTCAACTGATTGGGGAGTTTCTCAAGGTAGTTATCCTCAATGCATTGTCATCTCAAGTTTTCAACGGTTAAATTTTCATTTTGGATGAATGTTTACGTGCGTCTAATTGGCTGTTGCAATCATCATCTGTTGCTATATGGTTACTTCTCAAAAGGAGCTTTGGTTGCTGGTCAATGTGGTTACTTCTCAGTCATGTGTTTGGGAGATATGACTACTCATAATGATGAAAACTGTGTAAGAAGATTATTCAGTGCCATTGGAAAAGTTTTGATCTCCTAAAGATAAATATTTTGATGCTAAACTGGCTTGAGGTACGCACCTCTTTTTGTATGTGAAACTGAAAATAGAGGCCATGACTGATGGTGTAGTTGCTGCTGGGCTTCCTCGGGACCTTGCCCTTGGTCTTGCATCTAACAGATTGTGTTCATTCCATTAAGATATGTTGTGATCCATTCTTTGCATATGCTGTGTGATTCTTTTAAGTCATCATCTCCTGGTAGAGGTTTGTATCTTGGTTCAGAAAATTCATCGATGCAGGTGAAGGAAGACAATAACTCCAACAATGCACCCCGCATTTCTTGATTTCTCTCCTCGCTGCTGTTTCTTTTATCCTGTGCTAAATTTTCTGAAGCTGATGATCTCCTTTGTGTGAAATAAGTGATAAACCTGTGCCAAATTTCTTTCATGAAACTTTAAGTGCAAAGGTTGTTAACTCCAATTCCAATCCAGAAATCTTAACTGCATGCGGAACATTTCTTGTATTACTCCAGAGAATTGTTACTGCCGTTGTTCATTTCTTTAGCTTCTTTGGCTTGTACTTGGCAACCTATCTGTATTGTTGAGAGCTGAATGCTAAGGAGCGAGAGGTGGAAGTGTCCAGCGTGACCTGCACTGGTGCCAAGGTGGTGGTGTGCATGACCTGCAGGTGTGGCCGTCTGATGGACCAGCTCCCCTGTCCATCTTCACCTTCAGACTCACTCCGATGGTGGATCAGATCGCGCCTGTTTCTTTCTGCAGTGTGTTCTTATGGCAATCTACTGGAGTCCGAACTGAATTCAAGACAAGGTTAATTGTACTGAGTGCTGAACTGTGTGTGCACTCATGTAGAAACAGCTTTGCCCTGACGAGCTGTAGGAATGTAGTTTCATGGGACACTTTTCTGTTGATATGTATATGTAGTTTCATGTTTTTATATATAATAAAATTAGCCTTTGGAGCAATGAAACAAGATATTAATGGGATTTTGCTATTCTTTTTTATGATGCTCTCTGTTTCTTTCATCCGTTGATTTTTTAGTTATGATTTATTTTAGCTTTATGATTTATTTTTTTTAACGCCATCGTAGCGTTAGCACGGGCAATATAATAGTTCAGAATACATTTTGAACTGATAACGGGCCACGAACCCCAAACCAATGCAAACACCAGTCAAATCAAAAGATTGTTCCGAGAAAGGGAGCCAACCACAGTGAAACAGAGCCGACTAAGGTGAGTGTGCTCTCCTGTCGGCGAGAATGTTGGTCCTCTCCGCCTTGGGTGACAACTTTGGCTTCGGTTGCTTGTCTGATCGGTGTCGTTTCTTTGCCTGATGATGTAGATTAGGTTACATGCCACATCTTGGATTTGAAAATCTTCTGGATTATCTTTGATTGGTGACCAGCTGCAGCTTCTTGTTCGTACAAAGCACGTTCTCTTGGTCGAAACATTGAGAGATTAGATTCTTAATTGTACAATATATTGTAAAACATGTATTGTAAAACACAAACTTGATATGATTAAGGTGAATGCTCGTGTATTGCAACCTGTAAAACATCACGATTGCAGTATCTATTTTAGATACAGTATAACACGCGCTCATACATATGTTATCATGATATTATGTGTACCCATTGCAACGCACGGGCATTTAACTATTTTTTAAACTAATTTGCCTTCGGCTACAATCATTTTTAGGAAAATAAGTGATAAGAGGGGGCGAGGAGCACCGTGTGGCCACACAATAGGGTTTTCAACCATTATGTGCTTCAAATGCTATCTCTATTTGTGGACGAACACAACGGATGCTCAAAACTCAACCGAAAAGAAATGACAAAGCAACACACATGCATATGCAATGCAATATAAGAAAGGTACATCTAGTTTCTTGTCAAGTTTGATCCAAGGTTAAGTTTTTTCACACACTTTTCAGTGGTTATCTTAACTATGTTAGACAAGCCCTAAGTGGATTACTAAAAATTAAACATGTTTTATATTACAATGCAATGCAAGGGAAAACACAAGCTCATCTTTTAGGGAAGCTGCTTAGGTCAAGCACGTTGAGCTCATTTCTCAACCTACAAAAGGTAGCCTCATCTAGCGGTTTTGTGAAGATATCCGCCAATTGATCCTCGGTCCTTACACCTTCTAGTGATATATCATTTTTAGCATCATGATCTCTGAGAAAGTGATGACAGATATCTATGTGCTTGGTGCGAGAGTGTTGAACCAAGTTATTAGCAAGCTTTACCGCGCTCTCATTGTCACACAAAAGAGGTTTCTTTTCTAGTACTACACCATAGTCTAGAAGAGTTTGCTTCATATAAAGGATTTGTGCACAACAAGCACCCGTGGCAATGTACTCTGCCTCGGTGGTGGACAAGGCCACACTATTTTGCTTCTTTGAGGTCCAAGACACTAGTGATCTACCAAGCAAATGGCACCCTCCGGATGTGCTTTTTCTATCAATTTTGCAATCGGCATAATCAGAATTGGAATAGCCAACTAGTTGGAATCTAGCTCCTTTGGGGTACCAAAGACCAATGCTTGGTGTGTGCTTAAGGTACATAAGGATTCTTTTAACGGAAACTAAGTGAGATTCCTTATAACTAGCTTGAAATCTAGCACACATACACACACTAAACATGATGTCGAACCTAGATGCGGTCAAGTATAACAAACTATCAATCATAGAATGGTAGAGAGTTTGATCAACCGATTTACCTCCCTCATCTAGGTCAAGATGTCCATTTGATGGCAATTGGTGTCTTGATTGGCTTACATTCATCCATTTTGAACCTCTTGAGAAGATCCTTGGTATACTTTTCTTGAGAGATGAAAATCCCTTCTCTCATTTGCTTGACTTAAAAACCAAGACAGAATATAAGCTCTCCAATCATAAACATCTCGAACTCCTTTGACATCAATTCACCAAACTCTTTGCAATAATCTTCATTTGTTGAGCCAAATATGATATCATCAACGTATACTTGACAAATAAAGATCTCTCCATCAAGCTTCTTGGTGAATAGTGTGGTGTCGACCTTCCCAATGGTGAAGCCCAACTCAATGAGGAAATCCTGAAGGCGCTCATACCAAGCTCTTGGGGCTTGCTTTAGCCCATATAGCGTCTTGGACAACCTATAAACATGATTTGGATATCGGATCAACATAGACTAGTTCATTTATGAAACCATTTAAAATGCACTTTTAACATCTATTTGATATAATTTCATTTCATGATGCGATGCATATGCAAGGAGGATACGAATGGCTTCAAGTCTTGCAATTGGTGCAAATGTCTCTCCAAAATCCAAACCTTCAACTTGAGAGAACCCCTTTGTAACAACCCTTGCCTTGTTCCTCACAACAATGCCTTGATCATCTTGTTTGTTGCCGAACACCCACTTTGTTCCAATGACTCTTGCATCTTGTGGTCGCTCTTCCAGTGTCTAAATTTCATTGCAGGCGAAGTTGTTCAATTCTTCATGCATGGCATTTATTCAATCCGGATCTTGAAGAGCTTCTTCTACATTCTTAGGCTCAATGCAAGAGACAAACGAGTGATGTTTAACAAATGAAGCAAGTTTTTAAGAGCGAGTCATTACACCCTTTGAAGGACTCCCTATGATGAGATCTTGTGGATGTGCTTGAAGTAGAGGCGAATTTCTTCTATCAACCACTTGGAGAGGAGGTTGTGGAGCATCAATATCTTGAGCTTGTGCCACCATTTGATCATGGGAGACATGAGTATCTCCATTTTCTACTCTCCCATCTTTGTCATCATCTTGTGGCACATTTGATGAAGAAGGTGGATCAATCACTTGTACTTCATCTTCATCATCTTTTGGCTTGATGTCTTCAATCGAAATATTCTTCATGGACTCCCTCAATGGTTCATCACCTACATCATCAAGATTCTCATGTGCTCCTTGGGAGCCATTAGATTCATCAAATTTCACATCATATATTTCTTCAACTAAGCCGGTGGCATGATTAAATACTCGATATGCTTTGAACTTTGATGAGTAACCAACAAGAAAACCAATATCACAACGTCTTTGGAACTTCCCTAGGTGTTGCCGCTTCTTGTAGATGTAGCATTTGCAACCAAACACCCAGAAGAAAAAGACGTCAGGCTTCTTCCCATCGAGCAACTCATAAGGGGTCTTGCCAAGAAACTTTTGAAGAAATAGGCAGTTGGATGCATAGCATGCAATGTTGATAGCTTTTGTCCATAGATCTTGAGGTGTGTTGTACTCATCAAGCATTGTTCTTGCACGAGTGATTAGTGTCTGGTTCTTTCT